CGCGGGCGGCGCGGCGGCCCGCGCCGGATGCGAGCGCGCTGCCGTGGGCTAGCAAACAAGCCAGGTACAGGCACGTGAGCACGCTGCAGGGGCAGGAGTTGCAGAGACCAAGAGGAGAGAAACTGGGGCCTCATCAGAGGTGCAAAACAGCTAAGACTTTCCACCTGCAGGGCTAGCAAAAAAGCACGGCTGCAAACAATCAGAGAGGTACAGCCGCTTCCCAGCGAGACCTTATAAAAGTTTCCGGTCGGAGCTGGGCAGCTCCATGGTGTCATGAGCCCCTGGGCAGAGACTCAGAGTGGGAGAGGAGCCCAGGACACAGGCAAGCTCCGGCTCTTGCACTGCACGGTCTGAGAAGAGCCTCTCAGACGGCCAAAGCCGCTCCGAAGCACGGCCTGCTATGAAGCCGAGCCCTAGCGAACGCGCAGGCTCACCTTTCCCAGCCGTAGACGATGCAGGGCAAGGCCTCAGCGTTAGCAAGTGCTTTTACTTCGTTAAACGGTCAGCGCGCGCCGATGCTGAGGAAACGAACGCCAGGGTCTACAGCGCGAGGCATAAACTGCGAGGGATTTTGCAACATCTACCAACTTCTCCCCTCTCCCAGCTTGCAGCGCGCTGACTTTTGCAGAGCGGACAACATCTTTCTGGGGAGGAGGGCGTCCTTCCTTCCTGCAGCGGACGCTGCCGACATCTACTGCTGCTTTCCTCAGATGTGCGCATATATAAAACCTCTGTGCAATAGAGTTAACAACCCAGCCCAGAAAACAGCCGCCGTATGAGTTGTACACTTTAAAGCATGCTTACGGAGTGCAATAGTGCTCAGGGCTCCTTCACCGGGCTGCACTTCAGCTGGGGTCAGGGTTAGGCTGAGCAGTGAGGTTTAGACTCACCTTCGCGCTGCGCTGCTTGGTGCCAACAAGGTGGCTGGTTCCTAACTACCCTCTAGCACAGTTATTTCGGCCTCCAGGCTGAGGTCAATGCGGAGAGAGGCATTACCTGGATTTAATGCCCATTGTTTTTTCTGGCACGCTGGTGAGAGGTAGATCAGCATCTGTGCGGAAAAAATAAAGAATAATTTAATCGTCCTGTAGCAATGCAGCCAGTAAGGAACATGCAAGGAAAAAAGCAGAATTTTCCTTCTAGTTATGTGGTAAAAGGTTGAAATGCTACAACTCAGCACTAGGATAACCGGAGCCATGGAGGGGCGAGTGCTGTGCCCAGGTCTGGTTGGCGCATTGACTTCTCCATATATATCCACAGGAGCACTTTACAGAGAAGGTGACTCCGGGAAGCTGTGGCAGATAAAAAAGAAGCTGGCTGACAGATGAAAAAAAATAGTAAGGCTAACACAAAGCACACAGTCTCCCGTGGAAGCACAGGAAAGGTATTTTCTATGCCCAGGATGACCCAGTGCCCTGCAAGAGGAAGGGAATGAAAACACCAGGCACAGGATGCAGCTGGGATCTCCCACGGGACTGTCCAGGCTGATGGACGAGGGTGGGGGGCAGGAATGAGGCAAGCCTCACGCGGACCTCAGTGCTGGCCTTTGGGCCTGGTGCCTTGTCCCAGGCACGCGTGTTAACTCCTTGCTGGAATAAGCACAGCCAAGGTAGGAGACTACAGGGCTGGCGACACACACACACACACACACACACACACACACGCCAGCAGCAGACGACAAGCCAAGAGCAACCTGCAGCACCCCTCCAGCATGCCTGTCTCTCTCCCTTCAGTCCCTGAGTTCATTTTAATGGGAAAAAAATAAGTTTCTTGGAAAACTCCCTGCACCCAGGCTAGGCAATACAAAGGAGCTGGATTCCCTCCTCCAGCTGCACCCTCTGGAAGAGGCAGGTCTCAGCTCTGTGTGGTGGTCTCAGCTCCCAGCTGCACCCCCTGGAAGAGGCATATCTCAGCTGTGCATGGAGGTCCTGGCTCCCAGCCGCACCCCCTGGAAGAGGCAGGTCTCAGCTCTGTGTGGAGGTCCTGGCTCCCAGCTGCACCCCCTGGACCCATGTTGTGGTCCCAGCTCCCTCTAGCATGCCTGGAGAGTGAGGGACACCCTTGGCCAGGTGGGATTTCAGCCCACCCTGGAGGGCCAGCCAGACAAGACAATGGCTCATGGCAGGCTGAGGGTTTCAAACCACCGAGATTTGAGTAGAAATTTGCAGGACTCAGTACTTGTCCTTTTATAGAGGAGTGTTGACCTTGCAGCTTTTACAGAGAAAGCCTTAGAGAGATCTCCCAGGACTTTGCATCTCAGGGATCAAGGCTGGAGGTTTCTGCTGTCTTTTCCATGACTTGGACTTCTCATTGTTATCGCTTTCTCAGCAGAAAGGAGACAGCAGCTGCAAAGATAAAATAAAGCACATTTCTGTAGCACAAATTGCCTCTGCAACATTGTGCTTTTATAAAAGTACGTCCCTGCCTTGTTGCTACACATACTGGCTGAGGATTTGCCTTGCAAAGTGGCACGTTCAGCCCAGAAATGCGGAGGCGCGAAGGGAGGGGGTGGAGGGGAGGGGAGGTGGCTTTTCCCACCGAATTCCTAGTAATTCCCAAAACGCTCACAAACCTTTTAATACCTAATTGCTGGTAATAATCCCCTGGTGATTGCAGGGGATGCATAACGCCTTTTAAATGGTGCAAAGAGGAAGCGCATAACATTTGTAGGCTGTGCATGAAGTCTGTATGTTTTGCCTCTTAGGCAGCAAAAAGTAAAATAGTAGTGGCTAACATGGCTCTCCCACCGGCCGGAGAGGGAGAGGACCCGCTGTCCTGGGGGAGCAGGGCGACGTTTAGTGGCGAAAGAAAGAAGTGCAGCGAGGAAACGCCATTCCGGCACTTTTCCCAACGCTGGCAAGGATGGCATGGGATGTCTGTAGTGCTCCTGGGCTTGTGCAGCCTGTGCTCAGCCTCATCACATCTCTCGGGCGAAGGTGATGGATGCTCCGCAGAAAAACCATGCGCCATCGCTTCCCGACGCAGTTGTTTCTGTTTCCTGGTGATCTCTGCAAGAAGGATGGATAGCTAGGAAAGAGGAACCTGCGGAAAGCACTTTGTTCCGCTACGGGAAGTCCAGAGGAGCACCGATGCATGCCGCTGTGATGAGCAAAAGCAGACAGAACAGTCTCTTCAACCCACAGAGCAAAACAGGCAGCAGGACAACAGTCCTGACGGAGCATCAGTGAAACAGGAACGAAGAAACACCTTCGCTCTCCTCGTTCACGCCGTCTTGTGCGCCCCGTGTCGAGCGGGGCGCGTGTGTTAGATAACTCCACACCCGCGCTGTCCTAAGGGCTGTGCCACGCATCTGATGTCTGCCAGGGCGCAGTGACTCAGGGAACTGATACAGGTTAAAAATATCCTCATCCACACTTGGAGCAAGGTTATTTTCTAACCACAGATCAGTTCCCAGACTCCAGTCCCTCCACAGCAGGACGGAGGCTGCCCAAACAAGGGAGGGGATGCACACAGCCTGACCCCGCAGAACAGCATAGGCAGCAAACAACCCGCCGGGCACGCTGCAGTGGGAAGCAGCTCCGTTCGGACAGGCGACTGCATGCCACCCTCTCCCAAGTCTGCCACGAGCTGCAACCCACCGTTTCATCCTGGAGCCTGCGCAGGCACCCTGGCTCCCTGCGACGGGGAGCAAAGCAAAACGAATACACACAAACTGCTAAGCTCAGGACTACCATTCCTTATGTATCTCTGCACCTCTGTCACATCATTTTTCTTGTGCAGGCTACGCAGAAACAAATCAGGCCTTTTCAAAGCTAAAGACAGAGAGAAAAGAAATATGCAGTTTATAATCAACCATACCCTACCTGATGCTATGGCTGTCCCTCCTCTCACGTGCATGTCCCCAGCTTGCTGCAGTTTCTGTAGCCTTTAGATACTAGAGGGTGGTTTATTTCCCATATCTGAAGATCACAACAATATACACTGGGATAACTTCTATGCACTTTTATTAGCAGTAAAAGACTATTAAAAAACAACTTCTCCAAAATGATTTACAGACAACTCTCAGAAAAGTTAAAAAAATATATTTTGTCCAACATTTGGCTGCATTTGTTCTGTAACTGCAAGTGAAACAGGGAACAATCCGTACGTATTACAGCTTAAAACCAAATTTGGTTTAATCCATGCAACCTGCTTTGCTCCCTTTAATTTAATTGTAACATAATTCCAAGCCGAGAGATGGCCCTTTCTTGCCAGCCCCTTTCATACACTTATTTCCCTGGGGCTGATGCACACAGGACTCAGCTACGTCCTTTTTCAGGCTAGTGCATCGGAGTAGTGTCAAAGCAGGCAGAGCCCAAAAAAGTCAAGTCATGAGTTAAGTTTACTCTCCCCAGAGCAAAAAGCACAAAAGCAACCAGAACTCTTCAGAAACAACCAACCAACCAAATAATTTCCAAACCTTTTTTTTTTTTCTTCAAACCAGCTTCACAGAAATTTTGTTCTTGTGCATGTCAGCTTTAACTTACATTTCAAAGGATTTTCCTAGGAATAGTCAACAAGTCAAGTCTTCTCCAAAGAGAAGGCATGATTCTGAGGAGAGAGCGAAGCCCGGAGCTCCCAGCTCGCTAGGAACACCCTTTTCTGCAGAAGCGAGTTATGTCTACAAGCCAGACACAAACCACAGGAAAATCAACCCTCATCTCTCTCCATTTGCTGACTGCTTTAGTGTTTTTCCTGGACAACACTAAATATTCAGAAATTACTTTCAAAATCCAATCACAACAACCAGGAGACAAAAAACCACGTACATAAACAAAACAAAGAAAGCACAGCTCAAAACTCCTGTCTCCTTCCTTGCAGCCAGTGAATGCGACAAGGCCAGGACACCTCTGCTTTCCCTGCTGGGAGCGATACTGAGGTATTTCTCTGCTGGGGAAGCTCTCTTCCTCTGGCTATATGGAGCTGAACCGTATCTCTGAAGGAGCTAGAGAAACTGCACACAGGAACATCAGGCTGGTCCAGTGACCCCAGGGCAGAGCCACTTTGGAGGGACCTGTTTCCCTTTTGCCGGCCGGCCAACAGGCTGTGGATTCGAGCCCTCAGGCAAGAGGTCCCCAAACCATCAGCTGCCCCACTCTAGGAGAGAAGTGATCGTCTGGTAGCTAGACTAGAGTACTGAGAATGGCTGACCCCATCGAGGGCCTGGGGACCAGCTCAGAGAGGGTGCTGGGCTGGGGGAGACTCCTTGTCAGAACGTAAGATGGGTACAAACTCCCCAGCTTGACATTCAGAAAGGCACCTTGCATCCAGTTTTCTCCAGGGTGAAGATGTCAGTGCTGAGAGAGAAAGGCTGTGCCCCCAACTACATAGTTTACATAGTTTCAGTCATAACAGTCGTTCTTGAGCTCCACAGAAGGAGCATGGGCAGGAATTTGGGGCTGGAAAGAAGGACTGTCCCTGGTCATATCAAATCAGATCACAACCATCATCTCCTGCAGGAGCAGCGAAAGGGAGGAACAAGCTTGCACTGTCACAAGTACAACCCACGCGCTAACCCTCAGAAGAGGAGGGCACATCCTCAGACCCTTCCTGAGTCCAAGGCTGAGGGAACAGGGGAGACCAGTTGGGGAACATACCCATGTCTCCCATGCATATGTCAGGCTGCACTGCAGCTCTAAAGCAGCTGGTTGTGGGAACTTCTTTAGGGTTTGATTTTCAAAACAAAACTACATTGCAGGTCCTATTTATTAACATGCCACCCCTCTATCCCCTGTAGACTTCCACCAGCTCCGCTCATCTCCTGAACTCCCTAGTGCATGTGACAGCAAAATCTTTTCTCCTCCCTCCAAGGGCCAAACACAATGGAAGCCCCATAGCCTCAGCCTCTGAAACATCCCAGCAAGTCCCCAAGTGCCCAAAAACAGCAGCACACCAGGAGGCATTGAGGCCACCGTGAAGGAGTTCAAGTTCCATCGAGTCTCTCATCGGGGAGCAGCAGAGCACCTGGGGCCACTCCCCAGCAGCCTCCAGGCCTGTGCATTTGTCCAGCCAGGATAGTAGCTCTATCCACAACCATCAGCCCTTCTCCAAGTGCCCCCACAGCCTTTGGAGAAAGCCATGAAAGGTAAGGAGGCCAGGAGCAAAGCAGCAGACAGTACTCCAGAGAAGGCCACGCCTACCTCTCCCCCAAAGATGTGCAAGGAGCATTGGGAAGGACAGGACAATGCAGATGGAGTCCTAGCCAGTGTTGTTTGTAAAACAAGCCCTGCAAATATCTGTGGGTTTTAGCAGCTTGAACAATTAATAAGCGAGGCCAGAAGAGGCTGGGACAGCATCAAACCACTGTGCACGATGACAGGTGTCCAGTGCTCCCCGGGCAGCATTCATCACCTACGTGAGAGGAAGGGAGCAAGGTGCAGTCACTCAGGCCCTCCACCTGCAATGAGAGAGGAGAGGTTTCCAGAGAGTACTAAGCCAGGTTCCACTTCCACCCCCTGGTATGTGGACACACCACCCGTCACTCACAGGCAACACTCTGCCTGGTAGACTCCCTCTGAGGCCTCACGAAGATGCTGCTCTGCTCCAGTCTGACAGGATATCATAGGCTTTCTTGTGATAGCATGGAGTGCTACCACACTGGTACTTCTGCTTCCCACCCGGACTTCTGCTCTACTCAGCCTCCCGCTCAGCCTCAGAGAAAAGGACTAAACAGCCAAGGGCAGAAGCTGCAGCTCATGAACAGGACCTCCACTTGCAGCTCTCCTTGGGCCAACGTGCCTGGATTCCACGTGGGAAACCTGGCCAAGCCTGCACGGAGGTCTGCGCTGAGCCTTGGGAAGCACTGTGCATTTTGTGGGGAGCAATGGAGATGTGAATGGCATGCAAACTCCAAGGGCCCTGATTCTTGGGACACGGCCAGAGGAACCCCTCCTCAGCATTTCCAAGGTGAAGTGTGATCTGAAGCAGCAGGGATTTTAGGAATAATCTAGGCCAACTTTCTCAGGGGTGAGTTATATAGGATTTGGCTGTACAAGACAACCAAGAACTCTGCTATTTCTGACTGACCTCAACATGCAATGAGGTTTCCCAAGATTGTATCCCTTTCCTCACCCTCCAGGAGGCTTCAATTAACAAACTTCAAGTGTTGCACATCTTGTACAGGTCACATGTGCCTGAAAAATGAGCTAGTTCCTAGAAGATTTCAAGAAGCACTCACTTCCTGAAAACTTCTGATGCACTTTGAAGATTTACAAAAATATTAAAGAGCACGTTTCAGAGAGCATCTACCTCACCCTGGAGGCTGCTGCAGCTAGAAAGCGTTACTGGAAGCCAGAGTTTGGCCCTATCTCAGCCACAGGTGTACTTTGGAGAAGGTGAACATTTCCTCTCTGGGCAAGATTCTGCTCTCCTAAAGAACATAGCACAAGTTCTTGGCTGCTTTTGCAATGGAAGAAATTGAGACAGGAGCTAAGGACATAATGGGAATAAAAAAGCCGGTGTGAAAGTAACAGCCAGAAGAGGAAGAATAGATGATGGGACTAAAGGAACCTTGAGACTTCCCGCCGCCTTGTATTCTGCGGTCGCTCTCCACTGTGCCTGGAGAGTCTGCACAACACCACTGCTCTGGGGCTGCCCAGCGCCTGCTTTGCCTGAGCTAAACAGCAGTATCAGGCCTCAGGCAAGGGAAAATTAGACCCGCTATCTCACCCTTTCCTAGGGATTCTGTCAGGATTCCTATTTCCAGATCAAATCTTAGTAGGGATTGGACAGCGGAAGTGTTTAGGAACAGCAAACCCTCTGAGCCCCTGAATTATAGCTGAACCTGGGAACCTGGCTGGCCACACACAGTGCCTGCAGTCAGCCTGGAGCTCACCTTGGCTGAAAGGGCTGCTGGAGACTCAGGAGACATGAGTGCTCTCAACTCTTACTGCCACCAGCCTTCTGCACGGCCAGAGACCACCACCTTGTCCTTCGGTGCCCCAGCGCCCCACTTATGAAGTGGGGAGAGCAACCCTGTATTGCCCAGCTGTAAGGTCTGTCGGCACAGAGATCTCTGCACAAGGGACATGTTTAGCGAAATGGAAGGGCTGAGAGGTTTTACACTACATGAAAAGCGAGAGAACAGGCTCCCCTCCTCTGTCTGTGCAAGGGCCTGTCCCCCCAGCAGCGTCTGCATCTAACTGCATCCATCCGGCTGCTTCCTCACAGAGTTTTGTGGATCTGTGGCGACGGACACAGGTTAGCCAAGGACCCCATGACCTTCAGCTTGTCAAGATTACTCAGTTATTGCCAAGGAGGGTTTTGGCTTGTAGCTAGGAATGGAGGAGCAGGGCCACCCCCAAGTACCAGGCAGGGCAGAAAGGGGCTCAAGGCATCTTACCTACGGTCACAGTGACGAAGGCAGCCCCTCCTCTTACACCAGACGAAAACACCTGCGAACAAACCACTGGTTGGCTCCATTAAAGACTCCAGAGATGGTTGTCAGACACCACTTCCCAAAGGAAGAAGCAGCAGTCGCCTCTTCCTCTTGCGTAGCAACACTCAGCCAGAAAACTTCAAGCAGGGAGCTGAGGAGTGACTGTCAACACTCCCTGACACAGGGTCACTGCCTGCAGGCAGCTGGCTGACGTTCAACTGTTTGGTCCTGAGGAACCCGGAGCTCATCTCCAGAGACCTGCAGAAGTCTGCTTGGCCTCAGCCTTGAGCTGGCATCCACCCCAGCCAGAGGCCAGGCAACAGAGCCAGACACCAATTTTGGCCATGCGTGAGCAGGTGTGAGGGGAGGGTCATGGGGGAAGATGAGAGCAGAAGCACTCAGGTCAGCTTTCCCAGCACCTGCACAATGCTGAAAATTTAATCCAACAGTAAAAACTAAATACAAATCAGCTACAGAACACTTCCTACTTCTGGTTTAAACCAGAGGATTCTTTTCTCAGGTCCTGACTCGTGCATTTCATTTTTTTTCAAGTTTGCGGTTGGCAATCTGAGAATTATAATCCCCACTTTGCCAAGGACTGGAGATAGGCCGGAAAAAGCATTCTCCCGCTCCAAAAAAGGAAGAAAACCAAGCCCACTGAGTCAGGAAGCACGTTTCCCTTCTGTGGGCAAAAGGGAACAGCTGACCACATTGGGGGGCCTAAACTGCTTTCACCCTAGAAGGGACGTGGGACATCCATCAGCCAGTCAGGGTCCACAGAACTTCAGGGGGAGTTTTGCCCAGATTAGGAAGGTAAAATATAATATCATGCCTTTCCTGGACATACAGGAGAGTTTCTCATGACAACCTCCCCTCCCAGGCCTGGAGCAGGGAGGCAAAGGAAGGAAATGGAGGGCCTGAAACCATGGGAACAAAATTATTTGTTTCCAGAGAAAAATCAGGGGGCACAGGAAGATTTTTACTAGAAAAGCTACATCTTGCTGCAGTAGTCCCAATACAGGGACCCACCCAGACCCACCACCCGGCAGGGCCTGAAGCACAGAGAGTGAGAGCCGTTCCTTCCCATGCAGACCTTAGCCCAGCTTAACCTGCTCTGGCTGGGGACGTCCTCCTTCAAACGACGGCAGGGACAGAGCACCAGCCACCTCCCTGCAGGGTGCCCAGGTGGGGAAACCCAGGTGCGCAGCCACCATGCATCAATCACATCAGTCAGCACAGACACCCCCACTCCCCCTTCACTCACCCCATCCCTTCTTGCTTGCAGTATCTGCTGTAGTACCCACCAGTGATAACACAGTAAGCCAAAAAAACGTGGTCAAGAGTGAATCGCAACACTCACCTATTAGAGAGCCAACGACAACGCACGCCATGATCACAGGAAAGATCATGTTTGCAGCATCTATGACAGAGACGATTCACAGTCTTTGTAGCCAGATTGAATTTACTTCCCACCCACACCCTTCAAGCAAAAACCTGCCCCTAGGCAGCTGCACGCAGTGCAAGGCGATGCGAGGAACACAGAGGGTACGCGCCCCTCCAAGCCCCGCTATTCCCACTGTTCCTTTCAGCTAATGCTGGGAGCGGAGGGGTGTGTTTGGGGCTAGGCAGTCACTGGGGACTTGCAGAGGGGAAAGCTATGAAACGCAAGAGGTGACCTTTGGTTTTTGGGGGATGCTTTAGACTTGAGGCGGCCTCACAGAACTGGGCTGGAGGGCTCTTTTTTGTCACGGGCTAGTTTCCCGGGTCTCCCTTCCCAGGCACCAGGAGGAAACACCCACTCACTCAGAACACGAAGCAGGAAGGAGGTTTCATTCTGGCTGACTTCGTTGCGGACCACACAAGTGTAGTAGCCGCTGTCATTCATTGTCGCTTCGGTGATGAGCAACGTGTTGTTTTGAATGAACTGCAAATGGTCACTCCCAAGCAGCAGCTCTCCGTTCTTCTTCCACCAGTAGGAGTCTGCCTTCCCTTCTGGGATGCTGCAGACCAGTTTAGCGTTGCCTCCTGCTTTCACAGAGGAGTTGCCCACGATTTCCGGCGCAGGCAGTGGTTCTGGGAGACATGGGACAATTGTCAGCATTCAACAACTGTTCAGTTCCTCGAGGCCAGAACTAGGGCGCCTTCCTACCCAGCAATTCAAACGAGTGCTTCGTACAGCTTGCAAGCCTGGAGCTGCTTCTAACCATCTGATCTGAACGCCCCTAACTTCAAACAGAGCCTGGGGCTCGGCACAGGCCCAAGCATTTCCATGAACTCCGTTCTATGCATCTGCATCAGCTCCAGTCAGCTCGAGTACGTTTCCACGAACTACAGACCCAGCAGCATATCCAACAACTCCCATGCACCTCGCCCGGTGAGATGCCAGCACGCAGGCAAAACTTCCCCTTCTTTGCACTGGGCATCCCAACAATTTCCCCTCACCGTGCGCCAGCTTGGGCGCCCGTGCCTGTGAGGCAGCTCACACGCTAGGAGAGGACTCGCTCAGGGAGGATTTCTGTTCAGTGGGAAGCACGAGCAGACTTGAGAGAGAAACAGAGAGAGGGGTATTTGTGATTCTGTCTGAAAGTGAATCCAGATCAGAGTTCGCTTGCACTTCCAGCACCCCGTTCCCTACTCCAAGGTCTGCTTGACTACTGTAAAAACTGAGGGCAGAGAGGAAGACGATGTTTCACTGTCCCTTCAGTCTTATCCAATGTCTGCCCAGCCCACAGGACCCAAAGAAAGCCTCTAAACATAGCAGCTCTTTGCTGGTGCCTGCATACAGCTCCCTTCATTCACTGGTGCTGTACCACACTGCAGTTTAAGTTAGGTGGCTTAAAGTTTAAATTTCAGTGGCTTAAAGGCCTTGCCTTGGAGCATCCAATACAAAAAAAAGTGACAATTACTCTTCCAGGGACTCCACTTTGCTCCACCTAGATCTGCTGGTACAATATGCTGTTATTCACACAGCACAGGGAAGTTACCCACCCACTAATAGCTTTTCAAAAGTGCTAGCAGATAAAAACTGAGTCACAGGCCAGGCCTCTACCGGCCTGGGAGCGCAGCACTAGTACCTTTTCAGCAGACTGTCCTGGCAATATCACATTTCAAGGCAAAAGCCAGGAGCGTGGGGCTCAGGGAACGGAGAGGAGCCAATTAACTATATACAGTTTGAATTGGTTATTCTTAAATCAAAGAAGCAGGGGGGGGAAAAAAAAAACCACTCTGCTTTTAAAGCTAATTCCAACCGGCACAGAAGAGTGAAGCAACTCAACAGAAATGTCCACAGGCTCCGTCCTGCCTGGAGTGAAACGCTCCACCAGAAGTGGAGAAATTCCCCATTACGCCCCGGCTGGCTGAACTGCCCCGGCTCACGGGCAGAGGCTAAACACTCACAGAGCGGTATTTCTGCCCCTTCTGTGACTGATAGCATACAAGTTTGGTAGAGTTAACCTAAAAATGAGGTGACGGAGGCACCATCCGGATTACGGAGCCGCGATCCAAATCGTCACGGTCACTCACCGATGGCTTCCAGCTGGAACCAGTCCGTTTGCTGTGCCTCTGTTGCAAAGCGGTACCTCCCGCTGTCTCCCAGCTGCAGCACCATTTGCAGAGAGAAATCCGTTTCGTTGAACTTTGTGCGGTTTTGGTAGGAAGGAGCGGTGTTTACGGGCTTATTGAGATAATACTTGAGGATGATTCCTTCGTGAGGGCCATTTTCGTACTCCCAGCACACAACTGTACTGGCGTTCAGCGGTGGCGCTGCCAAAAGCACGGTGCAGCCCACCGCTGAGACGAGTCTCCCCGACGTTGGCTTGAGGTCAGCAGAGTAGCAAGGAGAAAGTGTTTGCGCTGGCAAATAAACCAAAAGTTATTTTAGATCGGTTGCTATTACTAGGAGAATACTGATATTATTCTAACCGTATCAGCACAGAAACGCTCCCTGGCTCAGCGGCTCTACAAACAGGAGCGGCGTGGCCTCAGTTATTTCTGTGATGAGCTGGACTGTGGCACGGCTTTAAGTAGCAACATGGAAAGCAGAAGGCCTCAGCGGTTGACTACGGGCCTCTTTCACGTCCTGGGCCTGAAAGACTCGGCTGCTCAACTTTAAAGCGGACTTGCACGCGTATTTACGCGGCCCTAACCGTTTGCATCTGAAAGTCTCACAGGTTTCTGCTCCTGGGTACTCCTGCTAGAGCCCTCTGCTCCCAGGAGGCGTTAAAGCAGAGAGAGGGAGAAAGCTTGGAAAAAAACCCCTTTTTTCTAGCTCCCGCTGCATCAGGGACCCAAAAGTCGGGGCACCTCCACTAAGCATCAGCACCCTACCGACGCATCGCGCCGGTACCAAGGAAATAGGATAAAAGCCAAGAAAACCCAGAAGCCCCTCCCCCCCCAAAGCTT